TTCCACCCATCCTATTTTGTACCCAGAACAATCAACTTTTCCACCACATCATATCCATTACAAAAACTGCTCTCTTAAGATCACTAGTGAGCCAGATATGGTGACTGGTTCTGTATGCCTGCAAGGCCATCTGGGAGAGCGAGGCAGAAGAATCAAGGGTTCTGAGCCTCCTTTGTTATGTGTCTAGTTTGAGGCCAGCTTGTGATACATAAAATGCAGAAACACACATGACACACACCTACGGCAGAGAGAGGGAAAGTATGCACACACATAGAGAGGGAGAGAGAATAATCATTAATGAAATAAAATCTCACGTTATCTCCCAGTTGCTGAGTCCAAAGACAAATCTGAGGAATTGACTGAGGAAATCACCGTAATGAAAATAATCCTAGTTACGAGTTATGGTAAGAACTCAAAAGCCTGGTGTGGTGGCTCAATTGGTTAATCCCAGCACTCAGATGTTGCATTCAGAGGCAGAGGCAGATGGATCTCTGTGAGTTTGAGGCCAGCCTGGTCTACAGAATGAGTTCCAGGACAGCCTCCAAAACAATACAGAGAAACCCTGTCTCAAAAAAAAAAAGTCTAAACTGTCAGCTGAGTGTCCTGTTTGACTCATTGCCTGGAAAACTGCCTACGGCCCTGTCAATCATTTGCTTACTGTATATTGCAGTACTCATATGCTGGGTTCAAATAGGTTCAAACATGTTTTTATGTTTTATGGTTGTTTCTCCCAGAAAACCAACAAATTCTTGAAAACTATCTGGAACACAGATTTGAGACTGGTTCAGGATTTGAGTTCTCCATCATCCCTTCCTCCACTTCCAAAGTGCAAAAACAACACGCATGGATTCTTTTTTTTTTTTTTTTCTCTGTAGCTTTGGAGGCCATTCTGGAACTAGCTTTTGTGACCAGGCTGGTCTCGAACTCACAGAGATCTGCCTGCCTCTGTCTCCTGAGTGTTCACCGCCAGGCATTTTGTACATTCTTAAAAACCGGGAGGTGGGGGGGGGGGTCTAAGGAACAGAAGTGGATGGAGCTGGAGAGTTGGCTCAGCAGCTGAGAGCACTGACTCTTCCTGAGAACGGGGTTCAATTCCCAGCACTGAAATGGCTGCTGACAACTGTAATTCCAGTTCCAGAGGACTTGGGGCCTCTTCAAACACAGCACAAATGTGGTGCACACATACTTGCAGGCAAGACACCAGTAAATTCTTTAAAGATTTATGTTATGTGTGTTTTGCTTACATTTACATATGTTCACCATGTGTGTGGTACCTGCAGAGGTCAGAAGTGTCGGATCCTGTGAACTGACTTAGAGATGGCTGCAAGCCACCATGTGGGTGCTGAGACCCAGACTCAGGCCCTGTGGAAGAGCGACAAGCACTTTGAATAGCCAAGGCATCTCCCAAGCCCTAAATAAATCTTAGAAAATACAAAGTAGGTCACAAGGGATGTCCCAGAGGGATCTATCTTGTGCCCTCCCCAAGCTGTCTCAAAAAAACAAAACAAACAAACAAAAAAACCAAAAATCAAACTCAATTATTTATTTACTTTTTTCTTCTTCCTTCTCCTCTTTTAGACAGGGTTTCTCACTTTCTGTGGCTCACAAACAGTATAGGCTGTCTGGCCAAAAAGCTGACCTCAAAGTTTTGGGGACCTTTGGAGCTAGGCTTACAAGAACTCATCTGGCCTTTTCATTGTTATTTTGTGGTATATTATTATATGTATATGGATGTTTTACCTACACATATGTGAATGATGCAACACTTGTATGTTTGGTGTCTGATGAAGGCCATAAGAGAGGGACAGATTGGAAGACCCTGGGATTGGAGTTCCTGACAGGTTTGATCTGGGTGCTGGGAATTGAACTCGGGTCCTCTGGAAGAGCAGCCAGTGATCTTAACTGCTGAATCATCTCTCCGGCCCCCTATACTTTATTTGGAGAGGTTTTGAGGAAGGATGGGCGTGCATACCACCAATGCCTGTGTGAAGATCAGAGTATAACTTCCAAGAATTGATTCTCTCTTTCCACCATGTCTGTTCCAGAGAGCAACCTTTCCTTCCTTCCTTCCCTCCCTCCCTCCTTTCCTTCCTCCTCTCTCCCTTCCTCTTTCTTTGTTTCTTTTTCTTTTTTTTTTTTTTTTTTTTTTTTGACAGGGTTTCTTTGTGAAACAGCCCTAGCTGCCCTGGAACTCACTATGTAGACCAGGCTGGTCTCGAATTCAGAGATCTGCCTGCTTCTGCCTCCCTAGTGCTGAGATTAAAGGTGAGTGCCACCACTGCCCAGTTTAAGCTTTTTTTGTTTGATTTTTGAGGCAGGGTTTATCTGTATTGTTTTGGAGACTGTTCTGGAACTCACTCTGTAGACCAGGCTGCCCTCAGACACACAGAAATCTGCCTGCCTCTGCCTCCCGAGTGCTGGGACTAAAGGCTTGCACTACCAATGCCCAGCTAAGCTTAGCTTTTTAAAACAGGGATTCTGGGGCCAACTCAAGCCCTCAAGCTTTCAGCAAGCAACATACTACTGACTGAGCCTCCTCTCAGTCCATTCACCCATTTCAATGTCTGCTTCCCTCCTATGATGATTTAGAAAAAGAAGAGAGAGAGAGACACACAGAGAGCGACACAGAGAGAGAGAGAGCCTTCCCTAAGTAGATCCAGGATAAGTCTACTTTCTGTAAGTAGTACTTTAAAAAACAAATCAGATCAGCTTTTCACTTCATTTGTTTACTCACATTTATTTATTTAGAAGCAGGGTTTCTAGTTCAGGCTGGAATCCTGGAAGCCTAAATAAATGTGGAAAGAAAGGACTGTAGACGCCCTCCAGTTTCCACACATGCACATCCTACACGCACACAAAGAATACAAAGCTTTAAAATGTACACATTTAGTAAATCATTCTGCAGCTGAGGATGACCTGAACTTCTGACCCTGCTTTTTTTTTTCTGCCTCTGGGCTGCTGGGTCACAGGTGTCTACCACCAGGCCGTTGGGTCACTGCTCATGTGGTTGGTGCTGGATCAACCCTCAGAATGCTAGGCAAGCACCCTACCACACTTCGCCCCTCCTGTCACACGATTCAGAGCTGGCAGAACAAGGAGAAACCAAATTGGCGGGTTTTGTTCTTGATTTGTGCTGTAAGTTTGGAAATGATTTTTCTTGTCCTGGTGTGGTACCCACTATGGTGGTGTTGAGGTGGCAGGATGCTAGGTTACACCTAGGAGACCAGGTGCCATTTGGGTGCTCTTCCTCCCTCCCCCTTCCTGCTTTGTTTTTGAGGCAGGGTATCACTGTGAAGCCAAATGGCCAGGTTACTATATAGCACAGACTAGTCTCAAATTTGCCCAGTCCTCTTGCTTCAACCCTTTCTGGTAGCAACAGTTTATAATTACAGCCACGCAGGAAGCTGAGGCAGGATCAAAGTTGAAGGCCAGTGTAGGCAATTTAGTGAGACCTGTATCAAAATAAAAAGGAAAAGAGGACAGGAGTTCAATTCCTTCCTATCACCCTCAAAAAACAAACAAAAACTAACTCTACAAGGGTTAACAACACCCGGAGGAAATGTACCCTCTGGATTCATGGTTTCAAGACTAAAGATCTGATAGGAACCAGGCTTGGTGGTGCATGCATGCATGTATGCATTCCTGTACTCTCTACTCAGGGGAGGCAGGGGTAGGAGGATAAGGAATTCAAGGTCATTTCACTTATCAGATCCCAGGCCAGCCTGGGCTGCAGAAGACCCTGTCTTAAACAGGCTTTGAGCATGAATTAAAGCAGTGTAAAAGTGTAGGGTAATAATGATTCATTGGCTTTGGTAGTGGAGTAATGAGTGACTGGGCCGGTTAAGCGGCAGGCAGCACTGCACGGGGCTCTATTCATGCTCAGGATTTGCAAGGAAGCAAAGATGAAAACCCCATGCTCGACAGCGACTAGTTTCCTGATAGGCAGGGAGGGACGCACCATCCACCCGTCCACGATAAAAGGAACACTGTGGAAGCCAAGCGTGGGCGGCACATTCCTGTAATTCCAGCACTTAGAAGGCAGAGGCAGGATTGCCAGGTTTGAGGCCAGCTTGGTCTACATAGTTTATCCCAGACCAGTACATCCACTACAAACACCCACTGTGGCCTGGTGCCCTCCTTTAATCTCTCTACTGGAAGGGTTCCAGGCCAGGCAGGGATGGCTACTCAGAGGAACCCCATCAAATATTTAATGTTTGTAGTCTAGTCAGCACTAACAGATGAAGGTGTTTAGGTGCCTTTTATGTAAACAGGGGCCGAAAACCATTATCAAACCAAAGCAAAGGGCAGTAGCTCTGTCCTGGTGGGGAGTACAATACACCGAAGGCTGACTGGGAACTAGCTGCCTATGATCTTCTGGAGAGTGATGGTCACATTGATGTGTGTAAATGCATGGGATGAACTTCATAGAGAAACACTGAGCAAAACGGGGGGGGGGGGGGGGGGTCGGACGACATGGGACGACGGGATGGGACAAGAACACTACGCAGAGGACTCTTCAGTTAACCCGTGCAGGAAGATGTTTTTCATGGCAGGGTTTCTGTGTGTCACAGCTTTAGCCGTCCTGGAACTCTGTAAATCAGGCTGACCTTGATCCACTGCCTGGCTTGGCAATACTGCTATTCTATTTTTTGGTTTTTCGAGACAGGGGTTCTCTGTAGGATGTTCTCGAACTAGCTCTTGTAGACCAGGCCCCTGCCTCCTGAGTGTCGGGACTAAGGTATGCACCAACACTAGTACTACTATTCTTAACCAGTGGTTTGCGTTGGGCCTCAAACTGGCTGTCTCCAGAGGGCAGGTATTATATACATTGCCATACCTGGTATGGCAGTGGTGGACGAATCTAGGATGTTGTGCACATAAGATAACACTACCCACTAACTATATTCCTAGCCTCGCAGCCAGGATTTAAAGAGATTGCTGAAAGTCCAATTAAAATGAACAAAAGGAGGAAAAAAAAAATAAGCTTATGACATGTCATATACATTCAGAATCTTTATTTCGAAACAGAACTACAGTAACATTAATAGAAAGTATATATGGAAATATTCACAACCTGGCCATTGACACTGGGAAGATTCCACCCAGCATTTCTGCCAACTCACTGAGGAGCAGAAGAGGTAAGTTAGAGACGCCTTTCCCAGAAAAGGCCCTCTTCATAGCTTTGTGAGTTGTTATCCCAAGTCTCAATGACCACACAGAGTAATGAACAGGTACTGAAATACTGGTATATGCAAGGGTTTGCCTGAAGGGTCTGGAATGTGAAAGCACCAAGAGGGGAGAGGGATCCAGTGACGGCTGGAAAAGGGGGGGGGGAATCATCAGAACCATCTCCATTTATGAGCCAAGTGGAGAGAGGGGACAGGTTGTGGAGGGATCCATGACCTATGGCAGGTGGGAATCTTGGCATTTCTCCCAACGTCCTACAACATCCTAGTCCCTTTAAAGAAAACCTCCCTTCCCCCACAACTGGGTCTTCAGGACTCCTGACCTCACACTTTTCCTATTCCCATGGTCCCTCCAGCTGGAGTAAAGCTGAGCCTTCCACCCCCAACCTCCAGGAAGCACCCCTCTCCAACAAGGCCGGGGAGCCAGATGAGTGGAACCTAATCCAGGTGCAAACTGCACCCGGCACAGGCACTGCTGCTCAGTGTCCACAGGGATGAGTTTCCATAGATTCTAGCAAAAACAGAAAGCCACAAGGAACGAAGGAAACAAGTTCTTAACAGCCAGAGCACATACATTCATACCCTGAAGCGTGGGCACACTGCACAGTCACACACACCACCCCTAATGTGTCTAGCAGAGGGAAGGCCCCTCGGGCACTTAGCACAGTATCACAGGAACATGGTAACACGGGAAGCCTGAGAGCGTAACAGACGAGCATGCCATGACCGCAGAGCAACAAGGTCCTCAAACAAGGTAATTAATAATCATTCGGGAAAAACCCTCTCTCAGAGCTGAGGTAACAAAGTCCAAGTTAGCTATGAATCCCTTTAAATCAAAGTAAACCAAAAATCAACACATAAAATCTCTTAAGAAACAAAATTGAAATAAGAAATGCCTATCGAGAGCTACTGCATTTAAGTTTCTCATTTGTATGGCTTGCTCACCAGTTGGGTAGTGGGGGTGACCGAAGAAAAAGAAAACAGGGAGTTCATCCGGACAGGAACAAGGTGTTTGGCCCAGGGGAAGGAGAGAGGCATTCTGCAAGCTCTCCTCCCTTCTCTGGACTCCATGCAAAATAAAAGGCCACCACCACCACTAACTACAAAGCCCATCTTTGTAACAAGCATAGATTTCAAGTAACACTACATAAAAAGTATAATCTTAAAAGGTCCACAGAAAGCCGTGAGCCTTTCCCTACAGGCACTCACTCTTCTGAGAAAGAAGAGTCTTTGTCTAGACCGGAGGCAGCTCACATGCCTACCAGCAATAGCTGTTCTCCGTTCATGTTGTACCATCACCCCCTCCAGCACCAACCCTTCTTTCCTCAAGAACCTCTCTTTAAACACCTCCCTCCAACCTAATTTCCTTCCTCTTTCATTATTTGGTAAAATTATACTTAAAAAAATAAATATTTATGCAATAAAACCTGAAGGTAAAATAAATAAAACTCAGGTTACTTTAGCTGTGCAGAGCTGTATCAAGTGAAGAGGGCTCTCATTCAATCCCTAATGGCCCCCCCAACACTGGGTGTGAAAGTCTGTTTGTTTCCTGGCAAGCTGAGGTTGGGAGGCATGGGCTGCACCCCACTCCCACAGCAAGGGGATACTAGAACTAAGGGGAACTGCAGCCATTCCCTCCTAACATGAAGGTGGGTCCACTCGACAAGTATCCCCAAGAAATGAAAACAGTTAACAAGCCATTGGTGATCCAACTAACCCCAGCATTGAGTGCAGTGAGTGTTCATGGAGTGTGTGGGGTGGCAAAGGATCAAATAGCAGCGTCCAGAAGCAGTCCTGGTTCATCCTGATGAGGTCTCCCGCTTTGGGGGAGGTTGCTTTCCATGTTGGAGGGAGGTGAAGGAGGTTCGCCTCAGGCATTGCCAGGGGTCTCCTTGACAGGCTGCATGCTGTTCAACTCCACACCAGAGGATTTCGCAGCCTGCCCCTCGAAGGCCCGAGTAATGTCTTCGAAAGTCCTGCCTTTGGTCTCAGGGACTTTGAAGAAGGTGAAGATTAAGAAGATAGTGAGGAAGACAGCAAAGACGATAAAAACGTAGGCTCCCAAGTAGTCCTAGGAAATGGGAGGAGAAGGTTGGTCACTGGCACTTGTCTCCTTTCTTGAGCTACGACTCTCCCAACATTGAGTGAATGACTAGGTTGCTTCACTTAAGGTGCCACCATGTTTCTCTGCAATTATTTGTCATGCTTTTTATAGCCACTCAAGTTGCTGCTTCCAAGCACCTGAGGATTTTGTTTTGTTTCTGATTTTTGAGACAGCTCATTTGCAGCTCTGGCTGGCCTGGACATCACTCTGTAGACCAGACTGGCCTTGAACTCAAGAGATCTGCTTGCTTCTGCCTCCTGAGTGCAGGGATTAAAGGCGTGTGCTGGGGCTGGAAGGATGTCTCAGTGGTGAAGACATCTCATTGGCTGTTCTTCCAGGGAATCCAGGCTGTTATTCCCAGCGCCCATAAGGCAGCTAATAATCACCCATAAGCCAGACCCACAGTGGTGCACAGACATACGTATAGGCAAAACACCCATACACATAAAATAATAATCATTAAAAACAAAGTGTGCCACCAGATCTGGCCTTTCTGAGGATTTTGATCTTAAGACATGCCAGGCAGCTTTAATGCCAGTACTTGAGATGCAGAAGCAGGCAGAACTTGAGTTCGAGGCCAGCTTGGTCTACAGAGCAAGTGCCAGTACGGGCTCCAAAGCTACACAGAGAAACCCTGTCTCAAAAAATAAAAACAAAAGACGTTTGACCATGTGGTTTAAAATCCAGGTTTCTAGAAAGAGCTGAGAGAATAGGAAATGTTTATGTAATCAATTGGATCTGTGTCATCCTTCAGACCACAGAGCCTTTAGGATAGGGATACCCATTTATCGGTGCTAACTGAAATGATGATTTTAATATGGGCTAGGTCTAGGAGCTTGTCCTGTTCCTAACTAAGCAGAACTATCTTTGAACCATCTCAGGTCCTCACAGGTTCCAGTTTTGCCCTCCCTGTACCTTAGGATGGCCTCAACTTCATACCAAGCCTCCCTGCCACGAGCTCCCGAGCGCTGGGATTGCAGGCATAAACAGCCATGCCTGGCTGTCCTTCACTGCTCCTTTGTTTGTGGGAGATCTGCCCTGGAGTATCTACTACTAAGGTGCATCTAAAGTGTTAGCTTAAGTAGACTGGTTTGTGACAGACTAAGTTTGGTTTTAAATTTACTCACTGCAGCCGAGGGGAACAGCATCCCAACCAAGAAGTTGGAGGTCCAGTTAGAACAGCCAGCCACTGCCATGGCAGCTGGGCGGGGGCCCTGGCTAAAGAGTTCAGCCACAATAAACCAGGGAATGGGGCCAGGCCCAATCTCAAAGAAGGCCACATAGACCAAGATAGCCACAATACAGACAAAGCTCATGGCTCCATACTTTTCCTGTAAGAGAAGGAAACAAAGTCCAGTTAAAAAGGCAGCAAACATAGCGCAGGCTCCATGTTCGGATGTGTTGTACAAAAAGTTGTCTGTCACTCCACTTGGGAGTCAGAAATCCTAATGTGCTAAATCCAGGTCGCCCCATTTCAGCCACCTCATTTGTAAAGAGACCAGTTCAACACCTATGAAATGGAACTACAAGACGATTTTTCCTTTTAGTTTTTTGGTTTTTCAAGACACTCTGTTCCTGTGTATTCCTGGCTGTCTGTCCTGGAACTTGATCTGCAGACCACACTAGCCTTGAATTTAGAGTTCACCTACCTCTGCTGGGATTAATGGCATGCACCACCACACCTTGTGGAGGACATTCTGCCTTTGGGATTACAGGTGTGAACTTACTACCAATGTCTGGCCTTCGAGGTGACGGTTAGGAATTAAACCAGACAGGGCCCACAAGATGGCTCAGTGGGTAAAGGTGCTTGAGGACCTGACTCTGGTGCCCCAGACTCATGTGATAGAAAGTTAATTAGAGGATTAGGAATTCTGGGCCATTATTTTTGGCTGCAAAAGACCTTTCCTGAGCATCAGACAACGCATCTTACAAAACCTATTACATGCACACAAGATAGCCACCCGTCTACCAATCTCCGAAAGTGCACCTGTGATAAACCTTTTGGGCACCTTAAATTTGACTTTATTGATGACCTGGAAGGTCAACACTTCAGGCCCTGCCACCGAGAGTCAGCTATTCCCTATGTAATCTCATCCGTCCCTTCCACCACTCAAAGAGCACTCACCTTCAGCAACAAAGAGATCGTCATGAAGATGGAACAAACAGCCATGCCTCCCAGGCCTATCATGTGCAGGGTTCGCCTTCCCGCCCTCTCCACCAGGAACAGCTAGAAGACAAGGCATTTCCGAAATCATGAACACGCTGTGTTAAGGATTTTACTGCCTGACCCCAGACCTTTCCACACCTCCCTTCCCATCTATTCAGTATTTGCTGGAATTCTTTTTCTTGGGGGAATTGTGGGATGCTGAAAGATGTCAGTGTGTGAATGCTTGTAAGATGATCATTTCACCCATCCCCATCCCCCATTCAAACTACCCAACTTACAGAAACTACAGTGAAGATGGTGTTAACCACACCCGCACCAATCGTAGCATAGATTGGCTCCTGAACACCTGCACTCTTGAAGATCCCCGTTGAGTAATAGAACACCTAGAAGGAGACAAAATCTGCATCACCAATTGCATCCTGGGATGCTGAGGTCCTTGGCCAATGTAGCTGTAGCACCTCTGCAACTCCACCTCCCCGTTATCCAGTCCAGCTAGTGTTTCCTTCTAATGCTTATCCCCCCTACTTTCTTACATCCTACTCCGAGCTCCGCCTTCTCCAGTGCTGGGGTCACAGGAATGCACCTCCACTCCCAACTCATTCACTTATGTCTACTTTGCTAAATTTTAGAGACTTTAGTCCTAGTTTGTCTTGTCTCAATTCCTAACCCTCCTGCCCCAGTCTCTCCAGTGAAAAGATTAGATGTATGTCACCACACTCACCTTTGCTTTACAGCATTTGTCATTTCTTAATTATTATGCAGGGAATGGTGGCACACACCTTTAATCCCAGCCAGCACCCAGGAAGCTGAGGCAGGAGAATCTGAGTTCAAGCCAAACTGGTCTATACAGTGAGACTAAGGTTCAAAAAGCAGGAAAACAAAAAGGAAAGGCAAAAGGAGAAACCATAAAACAAAACCAGAAGCCTGGTGACACACCTCAGTAGCAGCAGACTTACACAGCACCCACAGGTCCCAAGTTTAATCCCTAACGCTGTAAAATAAGATACATCACTTGCTCAAAAATAGGTTGATAAAAGTAATTTCTAAGCTCACTGTAGACTGGGTCTCCTTTCTTTCCTGTTGAGACCAGGCCTCTCTATGTAGCCCTGGCTGTCCTCGAACTCACAGAGACCTGCCTGCCTCTCGAGTGCTGGCATTCAAGGTGTGTTCCACCACTCACTCCCAGCTGACTTTACCTTTTAAAAAGTCTAGGCCACCTTCAGAACACTCTTGGCAGGGAAGACTCAGGAAAACCCCACCCTGCAGTTTGGGCTAGGGTATACCCAGACAAAACCTGCTCATTGAGTGAACTGGGAGCCATTCTAGTACAATAGTGAACTTTCTTCCTCACGTGGAACAAGGTCATCTTGCACTGTGCCCCCTCCATCGTTTATTTGTGAAGTTTTGGGTCCTATTTTGCAGGACTGGAGTTAGGTAGCTGACCCCAAACTCCTGGGCATTGGTGACCCTCCTGTTTTAGCTTTTGGAGTAACTACACTCTACAGACACATGCCAACCAGCCACAAGATCAGGTGATCTCAGGAAAATATTGCTGGGCCCCTTTGGCACCACAGCAGACACTCACAGCATTGATCCCAGACAGCTGCTGAGACAGCTGGAGCACGATGGAGATGAGGAGGGGCTGGTGGTAGTTAGACGACCTGAAGAGCTCCAGCACGGTGACTTGCTTCTCCTGTGCCATCCTGGCGCTCTCGTCCTTCATCTCCTGGATCTCCTGGGCCACATCCTGGGTGCCCCACAGCCGCTGGAGGACTGAGATGCAGAGGCGAAGATAAATATACCATGTCGTCGCCACCCCGCCACCCCATGGTTTGCTGTCAGCCAGCAGACAAGGAAATGCTAGGATGAATATACCCACAGCGGCCACCTTTGCTTGTCACCCCAGCGTCCTCATTCTCACAAAACCAAATTCCCGAGGCGACCTGCGAGGAGTACTCACTCTCCTTCGCGCGGTCCTCTTCCTTTCTGTTAATGAGCAAGAATCGTGGGCTTTCAGGGCAAAACGGAAGGGCTGCGCTTTGTAGGATCGCTGGGATGATGGTCAAGCCCAACAGCCCAGGCCATAGCTCTTCAGAGCCCAGGATGAAGTCCAAACCAAAGATCTAGAGGCCAGACAAAGAGAACACTGAACCCAAAATACTTCCCAAGCCACAAATTCACCATAAAGAGAAAAAGAAAAAAAAGGAAAACGACAAAGAAAAACAAGACCACTCATCCTTTTACCATACATAGAAAACAGAACTAACAAATTTTTTTTTTTTTGCCATTGCTAGGCCCCACCTGTATCATTAGCTACCGTATGAACTATAGCAATATATGAAACATATAACACATAGTTGAACACAGGCCAGATCCCAAGTGCTTCACCTAGATCATTCACAGAACACAGAGCTAGCATTCATTAAATAAGTAAGATTGCAAGTTACCTGAGCCACCAGAATCCCGACGACGATGCCCAGCTGGTTTAATGTGCCAAAGGCACCCCTCAGGGAAGTAGGAGACACCTCTCCAATGTACATGGGCACAAAGCCCGTACACAGTCCACAGAAGATGCCAATAATCAAGCGACCCAGGATCAGCATCTCAACAGACTGGGCTATCTTGGCAAAGCCCATAAGGCAGCCACCAATGATGGCCAATAGGTTGACTAGAAGCATCGAGTTGCGCCTGTAGGATTAATCAGTGACAAAGTATAGTTAGCCATGAGAGAGTCTCTGGTCTCTCCTTCCCTCATGACTTTGCTGTCTTAGCCTCTGTAGGTACAAATCTTTCCCTTTGTGGCTGTAGGCTTGTGTATTTGAAGAAACCAAATACACCCCCCCCCCAGCTTCCTCCCTTCTCTATCTTTATGTGGTCTCCAAGGACTAAACTCAGATCACGGACTGGTCTTCTTGACAAAGGCTGAGCCACCATGCTGACCCCTTTTTATTACACTCTTCATAGAATTGATATTATAACGATGGCAGGCTATTATGACAATATTTTTTTTCACACTGAAGGTAGCTAGTCTCAGCTCTCTGTGTCAAGTAGTTAAGGACTAGACTAATTAGTACTGATAACCAATAGGGGACAAACTAAAGCTTTAAATGCTGACTGGGAGACCAAGCCACCGACACAACTAAAAGATGTAAAAGATTAACAGTGAAAAGCCTCAACAGCCTAGGGGTGCAAGGCTCTGCCTTTGAGACAAGATCTGATTGTGTAGCCCTGGTTAGCTTGGAACTCAGATCTACCTGTTTTGGCCTTCTGAACATTGCCATGCCCAGCGAACCAATGATTCTTGACTTGAGAAGACCAAATTACAAAGGGAGCTGGGAAAATGTTGATACATGGTTCCTGTCTCCAGAGGCCCACTTAGAGACACACTTCCTAAAAGCCACCTTAGGGGATCTTAAAAGTGCAGCCAAGGTGCACAAATACCATTAAGAGAAAAAAAAAAAGTTTTGAGTTAAAAAAAAAAAAAAAAAAAAAAAAAAAAAAAAACCTTGATGAGGTGATTTGGCTAATGGAAAAAGCCATAGTGGTTATTAGTCAAAAGAGACTCCATTAAAAAAACCAAAACAACACTAGGTTGTGATGGTGTACATCATTAATCCCAGCACTCATGAGGCACAGAAAAGTGGCTCTGAGTTCAAGGATAACCTGATCTACAAAGCAAGTACAGCCAGGGCTAGAGAAACCGTCTCAAAAACAAAACAAAAAACCAGAAACCAACCAAATTAACAACGAAACATTATCCAACTATAGGTTGGCTTTGCTAATCATCTTAAATTCAATTTGTATATCTAGAATAGCAAATTTTTAACCTAAAGACAATTTTGGGTTGGTTTTGTTTTGTTTTTTTGAGACAAGGTTTCTCTCTGTAGCTTTGAAGCCTGTCCTGGAACTCACTCTGTAGACCAGGCTGGCCTCAAATTCAGAGATCCGCCTGCCTCTGCCTCCTAAGTGCTGGGACTAAAAGCATGTGCCACCACCACTGCCCAGCTCTAAAGACAATTTTTGTGCATGTATGTGGCAGGATGTATGCCACATGGAGCATGTGTCATAAGTGTTTGTGCAGGTGGGGGTCTCTCTTCCACCATGTAGATCCTAGGCTGGCTGCAACCTGATCCTATGCGCTGGGCCTGGGTGTTTGTGTCACCATGCCAACCGTTATGAATATACACTTTATTAATGGTTTGTTTGAAAGGATAATCCTCTTGAGATATTATTTTCTCTTTTTTGGGGAAAAAAAATCACTTATTTAGCCATTGTCTACATTTTCCACAAATCTCGGGATTACAAAAAGTATTAATTTTAAAAAATAATAAAAAACTTCCAAGAAACCTCCAAAATATTCAGTAATGAAAATAACTCACCAGGCGTTGGTGGCGCACGCTTTTAATCTCAGCACTCAGGAGGCAGAGGCAGGCAGAACTCTGTGAATTGGAGGCTAGCCTGGTTTACACAGAGTTCCAGGACAGGCTCCAAATACAGAGAAAGCCTATCTCGAAAAACCAACAAATAATAGTAATAATGTTTGGCTGGGTGTTGTGGTACCTAGAAGGTAGAGGTAGGTAGGTGGTTACACCTTGAATTTGAGGCCAGCCTGGTCTACACAGTGAGCCAGTGATCCTGCCTCAGGTGGGCAAGTAACCTCTGGCCTTAAAGGAGGTTCAAGAAAAACACCACAGCTGACCCCACAAGAGCAAAATTAAACTAGCCTGAGCAAAACTTCAGAGGCCAAGTGCTCACATAGCAGATCTCTATCTAGAAAGGCCTACTGGAGCTTCACAGACTAGCTTTCCCTGAGTATGAATCAACACATTCTCACGTAAGGCCCATCATCTCCCTAATCAATGCTCTCTGCTTGTCTTCAGTGTGAACAGTACAGGCCTATCCCTTGCCCAGTGTCTGATCAGTACCTGCCAAAGCGGTTGACAAAGAGTCCAACAGAAAAAGAGCCGATCATGCCACCAACGGAGAAGATGGCCACACACAAGGACCAGAGGGTGGTCAGCAGCTCCTTACTTGGTGGGTCTTCTGATTTCTCTTCCAAAGTATAGTTGAGAAAGTCCTTTATGATCTACAAGATAATATACACAGTGAGGGACAGGCCATTAAATCTGGGTGAGAATAGTAGACAAACGCCAGGGAGGCTTCCTCCTCCCTCAGGAGGGGAGCAGAGAGGCACATGCTCTGAATAAGACAATTCCGGGTCATCATCCTAAATATCCAGTAGGTGGCAGCACCAATGTACAACGGTGCGCCCCACCCAGTCACAACTTCCCACGTTCTTTAACAAGCCCCTGCAGTCATAGAAAAGGATCACAACTAGGTGAGAAGGCAAGAAGCAAGCAGTGGCTTAGGCTTCAACAGTATTTCCCCTCCCCCATCTAGGCCAGGCATCTTAAATTCACAACCCTCCTTAAAGACACTCACTGTCTCAGGGGCATTGATGACTCCAGTGTTGTAGCCAAACTGGAAAGAGCCGATCGTGGCAACAGTAATGGCGAACACCAGAGACGGGGTCACCTGGAGAGGAGACAAGGGGGGAGAAAAGCTTACAAATGCGGACAAATCTCCCCCTCTCCCAGGGTATCTGGCTGACATGCCTCAGAATTCTAGGATTTCTGGCACATTTGGGGAGAGAGACCTTTGGAGGAATTTGAGTCAGTTCTTTGGGGCTGGTCTTCATAGCCAGTACCAGGCCAGCCAGGGCTACCCAGTGAATCCTTGTCTCAAAAAGGAGGTGGAGAAGGGGGGAGGAAACTATCGCACCACCTGGACCACAGTACTGCACATCCAAGGCCTGGGAACGTGAGTTCAAAGTCAGCCTGGACTACATACATGGTCAAATACTGTCTCAAAAAGAAAAGACAACGCCAAAAGTAAAACTGCACCAGATAGAGGCAGGCATGGAACTGCACTCAGGAACTGTGATGGCAAGGGCATGAAATGGCTCAAACCCCATAATCCCAGGAGCTGGGGGGAGGACTCTGAGGAACGAGGACAATCATGAATTCATGGCCAGCCTGGGCTACAGTGAGACCTTGACTTATAAAACACCCACCTTTAATCCTAGCCCTAGGGCCAGTCAAGTTCCAAGACAGGCTCCAAAGCTACATACAGAGAGAAACCCTGTCTCAAAAAAACCAACCAAACAATAGCCAGGCGGTGGTGGTGCTCACCTTTAATCCCAGCATTTGGGAGGCAGAGACAGGTGGATTTCAGTTCAAGACCAGCCTGATTTACAGAGCTGAGTTCCAGGACTGGCTCCACAGCTACTGAGAAACAATCTCGAAAAAACAAAAAACAAACATCCAAACTCCCTACAGCATCGAAGGCAGAGCAAAAGGCAGCTTTAAGGTCCCTAAGAATTAACCATTCTGTAGAGCTGGATATTCAGTGTCGTCTTCCTGTGCTATCCCCCACACTGCAGAGGCCAGAGCAGCAGGTAGCAACAGCCTGGCCACTGGGATGCTGAAATCAACAAACTCATAGTACAAATTACTGAGTCCGCTCCTCTCCCCACTCCCAATAACTCCCCGTCCACTCAGTGCATCTTCCCTCACCCCTTTACAAAATGAGATAAGGTTCTACAGTCCGTATTCCAAACTAATCTCAAATTTAACTCCTCCATCCTCCCGCTCCAGCCTCAAGTGTGAGACTACAGTTGAGATTTTAAGTTCTACATATTTGAAAAACATGCTTTTCCTCCCGTACCTAGCCCCCATCCATCCATCCTTCTATAAATGACACAACTTCAATTTTCTTTCTTTTTATTTTTTGTGGCAGGTTTTCTGTAGCCCTGGCAGTTCAGGAACTCACTCTGCAGGCCAGGAACTCAGAGATCCACTGGCCTCTCTCTGCCTCCCGAGTGCATCACCAGCTTGCGGCTGACTTCATTTCTCTGAACACCTGACTGGTATGCCAGTGTGTCACCACTATCATTCTTATTTCTTTCTTCAGTTGTTGGGCACTTAGGGCTGGGCTCTTATCTCTTGACTGTGTAACCCACTAGCAACATCCTGGGGCCATCAAGTCTTCCTGTTCGCTAAATATGGTACTATTCTTCTCCACCCACCCAGCAGGACAGAGCGTCTGCTCCTTTTGAACACAGCGTTGGGAGCCATTTTTAGTAGAAGGGAATCAGACAGATATTTCACCTTGCTGGGGATCAATCAAGTGGGCAGGGGCAACTCAAAACTGGAGTCCGAGCCAACCTCTTTGCCCACCACAACCTCTTCAACTGTCCTTAGGTTACTTTTCTCTAAAGTCAGAGCAAGCGGCTGGCTGGGAGCTTATACTAGCGAGTTGACCTTCCGGCAGCCGCGCAGCCTCGGTGGTAAGTGCTAGCCGCTCCAGGCTTTCCAAGTTCTTTCCTTGCAGTTAAAAGCCTCTTTTCCCATCTCTTCTATCCCGCTTTTTCTCACCGCCTTCTAATTTACATTATTTCCAAATAAATTATCTTCGTGAAAATGCACTTTCCCTTACTGCTTCCTTCCTTCAGCCACAAATGCATCATACACTCGCAACCACAGTAAGGACAACTGGACTTCTCTCTCCACAGTACTCGGGGACGGCTGGATGCTGAGCAAGGCTAACCCCATGTCCTCCCAAGGTCTGATGCTTTCCCAAGCCTTCCTGCTGGCTCCGAGACCCACTCATCAATCATCGCCACAGGCAAGCCCCTACCCTCTTCGCTCTCAGCGGTCTCATTACAGCTACATCTAGCAAACAGCTTCTTTGGTGATTTTCACACGCTAGGAAGGTGCCCGGGAGGCTCCTCATCAGGTATGAGATGCACGGAACGGTAATAACGGGAACACCAGCAGCGAACGCTGAGGCTGATGTGAAAAGGCCTCCCTCCGGATGGCTCGCTCGGTGACTTAGGAGAAATGGAGCATGGCAATCGGCACCAAGACCTGCCTTCGTGAGGACCCCAAGCAAACAAACAAAAATAACCAGTTCTTACCTTCACCGTCCCCATGGTCCTAACCTGCTTCTCAAGCCTTAAGGACGATCTAGACACCCTTCCCAGCCACTGTCCTCGGCAGCAACTCGTCTCCCGATTCTCAGCGGTGCCCAGAAAGACTGAGGACCAATATCGCAGCAGTGTTCACAGCCAGAAGCCCAGCCTACCTATTTATAATTTCTGCAAAGGGTGGAGCCTGCGTGACACCCCCCCCCCGCCACCTTTAACCTATGACCTCAGGAATTCCATGACCACTGCTATCTGATTTTCACAACTCCTCCTCCCCCACCCCCCTCGCCTTTGCAAGCAATCAACCCCCCCCCCTGGCTTTTTTACCACATCTTCCTAGTGGTTCTTTTTTTTTTTTTTTTAAAGCCCATCCAAATTCCTTCCTCTTTTCAAGAGCCGACAACCTTTTTGTTTCACAGGGAAAAAAAAAAAAAAAAAATACTAAAAAGTTTGGAGAGCGGGCAAATTCAAGGCGCTGTGGATGGAATCAGTCTGGAGAGAGGAAAGCTAACCTATCTGAGGCAGAGCTGCGTGGGTGCTGCTTTCAGCTGAAAGTCACCCAAGGAGTGGGAAACAGAGAACCCATGCCCCTCTGCGCCGTCAGCTGCGTTTTCATTATAGGCTGGGTGTGCAATCTTCTAGGGAAGGTAAAGGAGAGCCTGCCTGACAAAACTGGCAAGAATTTGTCCTGTTGTGAAGGCAGCCTAGATGTCTTGGAGCCTGACCAAAGCTCCTAGGCTGCCAGAAAGAGAAGATCAAGAGAGGTACATAGCCCCAATTCCTTACCACAGCACACATTAGCCCACCCTTTGTGAGCTCCGCCACTGTCGCCTGTTCTGAGGTTTACAGCATGGAGAAACACAACAAATATCAAATTCAGCGTCGTAGATATGCATTCTGGGCCTTAAGTGTGGTAGTGCACTTGCCTAGGCTCTAGTTTATCCGCCCCCCACAACCCCCCAAATCAGGCAGTCAATAGACAAGGACAACTGATTCTCACAACAGAAATGTTTGCTAAAATCCTGTTAACTGGGGATTGTGCATTTCTTGAAAGACAAGCATGAGGGGAAAAAATGTGATTGTACAAGAAAACGTAGAAAACTAGGTAGGAGACGTGAGTGATCAGGAAGGAAAATGATGGCCAGCAGGAGGGATTTCACGTGAGTTTAGCAGGTGAAGCAGCGGAGATTGTGACAGGCACGTGTGTGGCTGAGGCCCTTAGCTCAGACTTGCTGGAACAGCAACCCCTTCCCTGCAGGAGATGGTGGGGGAGGGAGGCTTGGTGTATACACGAGGAGGGAAAGCATGTTTTCTCAGTAGCTTTGGTTTGTGGACCAAAATCAGACTGAATGGCTGACCCCAAGCAAAACCAGTCACTGTCTCCCTGAAACGAGGGTCCTTTCCAAACCAGAGCAGCACCAGAGAAAACTCAGGCTGAGTGGAACGTGTCAGACAAGAAAACCTTCCCTTGAGCTCCCATCCCCTCCTCCCTTCGTTTCCCTTTCCAAGAAGCACTGAGTCGGAAGCCCCATTAATTACCACAGCAACTGAATTTAGCAACCAAAGGAAAAACAATGCCCAAAGGCCAGTGCCAGCCAGGAGAAATAGGATCTAAGCCACTTGTGCAACAATGCATTTTCTTGTAGCCACATTAGAAACAATGAGGCCGGTAAAGGCACTTTCCACCAAGCCTGCCAACCTTAGTTCGATCCCCAGGATCCACATAATGCCAGGAGAGAACCAACTCCGAAAAGTAGTTATCTGTTATAAATTCTTTTGTGTTTTTTGAGACAGGGATTCTCTGTATAGCCCTGACTGCCCTGGAACTAGCTGTAGAGCAGGCTGGCCTCCAACTCAGAGAGATCCGCCTGCCTCTGCCTCCTGGGTAAAGTGCTGGGTTAAAGACACCCCTACACACACACACACACACACACACACACACACGGCTTGTTATTTGAATTTTGACTTCATTAAAATGAACCATTCAAGACAGGCACAATATTCTCTCTTCTGGAAGCACGGGGACACTGCCACAAGGGTGGAAAGCAGCCAGGCTGCTCCCTGCACAGCTGTAGCTTTATGCAGAGAAAGAGTCTCCTGAGGGCTAATTCTTAGATGTTTGAAGCCGGTAACAGAATGTTATTTTCTTGGTTAAGAGACAAGCAATATTGCTGGGTGTGGCTGGGCATGCCTTTAGTTCCAGCAATTGGGGGGCAGCGGTAGTAGGAGGGTCTCTGCATTTGTGGCTAGCCTGGTCTACATAGAGAGTTCCAGGCTATGCAAAGAGACCCTGTTTCATTAAAAAAAAAAAAAAAAAAAGGCTTTGGTTTGTACTGTAACAAACCTGGCCCTTCCCCAGGACAGCCAGGACTACACAGAGAAACACTGTCTTGAAACAAATAAAAACAAACAAACAAACAAAGAAGAAAAAGAAAGAAGCAATGTGAAAGGAAGACTGGTTGAGACCTGCTTTCTTTGGCAAAATTCAGTACAAGACTACTTTCATTTCATCTTAATTTTTTAATTGTCCTGGTACTGGCTCACAACC